ATTTCTGAATTTGGCGTAGAATGGCGACTACCCTAATATTGACCAATCAGATCACCGGATTGTTTGGCAATGGATTGAAACTTCTCTGCAACAATGCAATTTTTTTTATCTAGGCCCACACCAAGCCAACACATGTCTGTCACAGTCTGAGAGTGCCATTTTTGGCCATCCATAGGTTGATATTCTTCAAAAAAATCTCATTTGGTAGGAGAAACCCCCTCTCAACCCCTTCCTCCAGCTTGAGCCTACGAGCTCAAGTCCCCCTGTCGGACAACTTAGCCCCCCACCCAGTATCCGAGCCGCCACTGAAGCAGGCCCTATTTTGTTCCTGAAAAGATCCGCCGTGTAGATAATACCATTGATTAGAAATATTTGGGTGTGAAAGAGAAAATGAGTAAAAAAGAGGAAGAGGAATTAGGCCTACCCTAGGCCTAGATAAAGTCAATGTAGGCCTAGTAGTAGGCCTAGTAGTAGCATGGAGGAAATATATTAAGAAATAGGTATTTGGCAACTGTTTTATGATGATTTTGAACTACTTCAATAACATAATTGAGAAATAATTGGAGGTCTTCGTTTTCGGGTCTTCCGTCTTCCTTTTGTAGACACCCATATAGGGTGTGTATAAACAAAGACCCTTGAAAATTTTACAAACAGACGCCCAAAAAATTTCGTAATTTTGATTTTGTGACAGCCTGGCATGTCATCATCAAAATAAAAGAGAAAAAATAGGGGTCTTCGTTTTTGGGTCTTCGGTCTTCGTTTTATAGACACCCACCCAAAATTTGTAGTTAGGCCTACTCCATATATTTGGCTGTTTGAATATTGGCAATGTATGGTTTAATATTTGAGCTGCGTTTGCCGAGAGAAGTAATGTCCATGCCGGTTCAAAGTGCACTATGTCGATCGCTCGGCTCCGTATAAACCTCGCATGAGAGTTAGGGATGGAAGACAGGGGAAATGACGCCGTATTATGGTTGCCGTGGGTCCCCATCCGAATTCCAAACTCCAGATTTGGAATATAATGAAAAATAAAAATAAAGTAACAAATTAATAATATTATATACTAATGCTCTGTCCCTCTCAATCCTGAGTAGGCCTACAATAATAATATATCGACGCGTTTAGTATATGAATAGTAAGCTTGCTGGTTCTATTCAACATCAGTGACTATAATGTACTTATATTAGGCCTATGTACCTGAATGAACAAAAGCTCCTCCGTAATATTCAAACGGCTATAGAAATATTACTAATCTCATTAGCATATCAATATATATCAAACTGAATGTTGCTGTAGCTGTGTTTGTATAGGGCATCCATTTTATGTAAGTAAAATTTAAAATGTTCATGTTGTAAGCCTAATCTATTTTGTAATTTTATCATTTTTATTTCTTGGTGCTCACACAGAGATCGTAGATGTTTCGTCTTTTATTTTTATGTATTTCTTTTTATTTTTTATTTTTCTTTTGTAAAATTTAAGCCACACGTAAAAAGTGTCTTGCCCATGGACCCCTGCAGCAGTGGTGTATCCAGTGTTTGACGAGGGGGTGTTAAGTATAATTTATAAAAATTAGGCTTACATCCACTGAATTTTACGCAAGGCGCAAAAAGGGACGGATATAGCCAGTGGCGTAACGCCTATGGGCTCTCATGTGGCGGTCCGCAGGGCCTCCGAATTCTAGGGGTCCCAAAGGACTTTGTTGATAAATAACACCATATGTGTCTCTAAAATCGACTGTAGGGCATATATCATATTATAACGATTAAAGAGAGGGGCCCCGTCGGGCCGACGGGGCCCCCCCTCTCGGCCCAAGACCCCACCAAATTTGTCAAAAAATAAATAAATAAAAAAATTAAAAATGGAGATAAAAAGAAAATCATATTCACAATTTTATGTCTGTGAAGTGCCATTTCTGACCATCTAAAAGTGGCATATTCATAAATTTTCTTACCTCAGCCCCAACCATGGTGGGTCTGAGGTGGTATCTCCAACTGTGAACGTCCGTCCATGGCCTCAACTTTCTGGATCCATATTATATCATATTCATCGTTAAAAGCATTTAGAATAACAATGCACATTTAAAATCCCACGATGGAATTCCCAAAAAGGGCCCCCAGTTTCAGAAATACACAGGGCCCCGGCCCCATCGTTACGCCACTCTGGATCTAGCATATCAATGGCTATGACTCCATAAGCTAGTTGTTAAAAAAAACCGAAATGGCCACTGATTAATCTCAGATAAGATATATTCCAAGTATCGAAATGCACGCTGGATTGTCAGGAAAGTCTACTAAAGTCCATTGATTTAAAATTCGCACTGTTCATTGGCCTTTTTATGATTATTTTTCCTCGCGACCAAAACAAAGTTCATATCCTTATTATAAATTATATGAATTGAGATTATACCGAAATGTGACTTAGTTCCTGCATGGAGGAATTAGTTTAGTCCTGCAAGGAGTGTGTCGGCGCCAGCGTGGTGGGGGTGCAGGGGATTAAGCCTCCCCATCGGACTGGTGAAGCCCCCGTCGGACAGAGCCCGTCGGGCAATCAGACCATAAAGAATATAAAAATAGGACCACACCAAGCCAACACATCATCTGTCACAATCTGAGAGTGCATGCCATAACCCTTCTCCCAGCTAGAGCCCACAAGTCCCCCTGTCGGACAGCTTAGCCCCCACCCCCAGAAAATATATCCTAAAGCCGCACGCCACTGACTTTATATACCTCCTTAGTTTCTGGTATTCAAACTATAGATCGTGACCTAAAATAGGGTCGCCAATATATTTTGAATAAAATATTAATAATATACAGCATTTTAATACTAGATGAAAGGTATACTGAATGCATATGTGTATTCGCGAGAAATCATTGTTGGTCAATAAAATGTGTTATCCTTCCTGCTTTGTATAAATGCCATGTGTGTGAAGTTTGAGTAACTGCACTGAGTAGGCCTAATTGTATTCACATCATATTCATATGCCTGCTGTACAAAGACAGAAAAAAGGGGCATATTCGACATTTGCGGTATCTACTTTCTGCCAATGCATAGGAGTCATTGACAATAAGAAAGGCCTAATTAACAGATGTAGACCCTATTAGAAACTGTTGAAATAAGACAAAACGCCTTCAACATGAATATTTACAAACAAGATGACCACGTTTGTGAAAGCATGTTAATTTATCAAACATGTTGTTGCATCTATCAGCGGACTGTATTAAAGAGAGAGAGAGAGAGAGAGAGAGAGAGTGGGGGGGGGGGGAGGGAGAGATAGGGAGATCCTATATAATAAATATTTTCAAATCAGGTTTGCTGCTTAGCACCTTAAGCAAAATATAAATTGTAAAAAAGTAGGCCTAAATTAATCCAGTTCACCGAAAACATGACAACATTTTGCCTTATCTTGCCGTCACCGTCATACGAAATTACAGCATACTGTGCTTTTGAAAACATGATTGCCGAGTCAGGGAGGAGCCATGTTTATATAAATAAATAAAATGAAATAAAGGAAGCATCGTATTCCCTCCTTTCCCCACAAAAAAATAATAATTCACCTATCCAAATAACGTTACTGATTGCCAATCCCTAATATTGTGGTCTAAAAACACTTTGGGCCATAAAAGCCCTAAAAAACATTCCCCGCAAAGCTTACCAACAAGGGCGCAGCTCTGCTTTGAATGGGGAAGGGGGTACATTTCGTGCGTTTACACAAACATAAGTGGGACTGAGGTTTCACAATTTTAGGAAATAGTACCCAGATGGCCGGAAATGACACTTTTAGGCCTATATAGTCATCATCACATCACTCATTATAGACAAGATGAAAGCGTCAACAAATTTCTCATGATCTTTTATCAGCGATTTTCGTCAACCATCTAATTAAAATGTGTGACGTACCATTGAAAATAAAACTTGAAAACATTGTCTTTCATATATTTCTTTCTTTACTTTGCCTATTTTAACAATTTTCAGGCATCGTCTTGACTTATGGAATTACATTACGGTCGAAAAGTGAGGGGAACCGACCCCCTTAAAAATATGTGGGGGACGTCCCCCCGTCCGCTTGAACTGCGCCCATGCCTACGGATTTTTACGCCGGGACCTTGACCGAGACTCTATTTTCCCCCTGACTGTCACCCCCTGTCGGATATGTTAGACCTGCTGTCGGCAGATTTTTTGTTTATTTGCAGATTATTATTTATTTATTTCCTTCCTTTAAGTCTAGATTATCTTCATTAAACTTTATGTATTTATCATAAGACAAAAAGAATCATTAATCTACAATAAGCCTTATTAGACGAATACGAGTGATCACATCGTGTTGGAATGGCTTCTAAATGCTCAATGTCGCAACTCTGATGCCACAGATGCAGTCATAGTAAGAGAGTGCTCCGTCGTGAATTTTATGCTGTTAATGTTTCGCTGCTTTTAATTTACTTTAGTCGGCAAACTGGGTTTCGGAAAACTTGGTTTCGCCGAACTGGGTTTCATGTTTTTTGAGTCGGCAATTCGGCAAAAACTGGGTTTCGGCAAAGTTAATTCGCAGTCTGGCGTTCGGTAAACTGGGTTTCGACAATCTGGCTTAGATCTGATGTTTGAACACTACCGTCTTATTTTCTTAACAGATACTTGATGAAAATGGCAGCTAAAGAAATGGATTCATATGGGATGTTAGTACTACGAAAAGATTCCTTCGAATTCGGAAATAAAATTGGAATAGGCTCATCAGGTATTGTTTATTATGGTAAATGGAAGAGTAAAGACGCTCCAGTTGCGATTAAACAGCTTAATAATATAAAAGAAATTGAATTTGCTACGTTGTCTAAAATTAAAGAAGACCGTAAACAAAAGAAACTGTTCATCGGTCACCATTTTATTACAAAGGTTGTAGGGGTCATCCACGATGATGGATATTATATCGTCATGGAATGTGTCGCTAAGGGCTCATTGCATAGTTATTTAAGTAATAAAAGAAAACGACAGCAGAAAGTTGAAATGAAGGTATTCCTCACATGGACTCGCCAAGGTGCTCATGCGATACAATATCTTCACTCTCTTGATATAATTCACCGGGATATGAAATCACTAAATGTTCTGATTACGAGTGAAGATAACTTAAAAATTTGCGACTTTGGAATTTCTCGTATCTCTGATGAAACGATTGACACAAGAAACTCTATCGGATCAAAACCATGGATGGCACCTGAAAATTTGGAACCTAATGCAAAACTTTCAAAGCGCTCAGATATCTACGCGTATGGTGTTGTAATTTGGGAAATGTGGACTTGTGAATCTCCGAAAGAGAAGCGAATGGATAATTGGACATACCCACTTGATGACAGGGCACCAACGGAGCTTCAGCAACTGCTTCTAAAGTGCTGGAAAAAAGAGAGAGACAAACGACCTTCAGTACAAGAAATCTTGGAGGTCACGAAGACCTTGGCTCATAACGAGAATATTGACGTTCGAGATTTTATGAACGTGAGTCTTCAAAATTCTTGATTTGATTTGAATTTATTTGGTTCCAATAAACATACATACAGATAAAATCCAATGATAAAAGATGCAGAAACAAGAACAATATTAAAACAGATAAAAAGCCATAAAGTTTATTCGATTACAATGAAAGTTAAGAACAAGAAACATGAAAAAAACAGCGAAACCAAGGATAGCCCACAAAAGATGTCGTAAAACAATCTTATTTCCAGAGGGGTCCCAATAAATATAAAATACAAATAATCAAAACATTAATTCTTTAAAACTTACAGTTAAAAAATACAGTTAATAAAATCTTTCTTCATATTTTGGAATAATGATAATAATTATTATTTTTTTATGTAATTATCCAGAAAATTGCATTTAGATCCATTGATTAGTTTTTGGGATACTTATGTCTGGGACGTTAGCATTAATCCACCCCCCACCAAAAAAAAAATAATTAATTAATTAAAATAATTTACACCCGAATCTGGATCGTCACCAAAATGTAATGAAGCCATGTAACTTGGTTTAACACTTCCATAAAGTTTCATGCAGATCAGTAGATATCTAGTGTGGGGTGTATTTTTCTTTAAATACGTCGGCCAACATAGAAATTAAGCTTCCTTTCAATGTCAGAAATCATCTATACAAATCTGACGCATGTAGAGCTAAAATTGTAATCAGATAGGAGGCTGCTAAAAAAAACCAGACAAAACAGACAAACACACACATTATTATTATTATTATTATTATTATTATTATTATTATTATTATTATTATTATTATTATTATTATTATTAATATTATTATTATTATCATTATTTTTATTAAATATTTAGCACAGACATATATCTTGATGACATTTAGCGCATGTTGCTGTTTTCTTGTCTATCTGATTCCAGACCGTACTTGTAAATGAATTGAAAATTAACCAACATTCCGTAATTCTAGGGCAAAAATTTAGTTATCCTTTGCTGCATACTCTTTGATTGATTAATAATCGTCGATATTTGTTAATTCAGTAAATATAATGTAACTGAGTATCATGTTTGAATTAATGTAGGATTCAGATAGCAGACCTATGTCAGATAAAAGAGATGTGGTACCTGAAGAACAGCAATTACAACAGGTTAGTATTTGAATGAGAAATATTCATCCCAAAATTAGGCCCTGTCACATCTGTACATAGGTATTATTCGACATAAATTTGATATTAAGTTGAATTTGATGTATCGATAACTCACAAGAATAACTGCATAAATATTGTTTTCTTTTCATGTTTGAATTAATGTAGGATTTAGATAGCAGACCTATGTCAGATAAAAGAGATGTGGTACCTGAAGAACAGCAATTACAACAGGTTAGTATTTGAATGAGAAATATTCGTCCCAAAATTAGGTCCTGTCACATCTGTACATAGGTATTATTCGACATAAATTTGATATTAAGTTGAATTTGATGTATCGATAACTCACAAGAATAACTGCATAAATATTGTTTTCTTTTCATGTTTGAATTAATGTAGGATTCAGATAGCAGACCTATGTCAGATAAAAGAGATGTGGTACCTGAAGAACAGCAATTACAACAGGTTAGTATTTGAATGAGAAATATTCATCCCAAAATTAGGCCCTGTCACATCTGTACATAGGTATTATTCGACATAAATTTGATATTAAGTTGAATTTGATGTATCGATAACTCACAAGACTGCATAAATATTGTTTTCTTTTCTATAAACATTCTGTACTTAAAACAAATAGTATATGGCAGACGTTTTCAAATTTACACAGATATATTGTATTGTAAATGAAAAGAAAACACTAAAACCCATTGGGCAAAATGTTGATTTTAATAATATTGTTTAAAGTTTTGGCATTCTAATAATAGCACCTCTAGGTTACTACTATTAAAGCAGTATCCCGTTACAACTTTTAAGGTGGGCTACAGTATTAGAACATTGGGTTACTGGGTTTCTATTGAAGTTTTACAGTATTATAATGTGTATCATAAATGATAAAGAAAGAAGAGAGAAAATAATCAATTACTTGATTCAATTGTCTACTCATTATTTCATCGTAGGCAAAAAATCTTAACAAAAGGCTCACAGAAAAGCATTTGAATAAAATTTCGAGGGAGCTTGGTCGTGGCTGGGAAGGCGTTGCTCGAAGCTTGGGAGTCACATCAGTAGAGATCGATCATGCTAAGGAAGAGAACGGAACTACACGCGAGAAGATCTTTGCCGCATTTAACAAAATGCGGAAACGCAAGTCATCTAAGTCAGATTTTGTTAGAATCGTCGATGTTATCGAAGCCTGCAAGGAAGAAAAAACGGACATATCAGTGTACGGATTTCTCTATAATGAATAAAATGTGTCAGTAAATTAATATCTCTCCTGAAGTTAGATAAGTTACCAGTAGCATACGGCGAAAGGAAACAGGGTACTACACTACATACACTAGCTAAAATTCAAAGACAATTTATTTACTACGCCTTTTCCCGTTTTCTTGGTTTTCACAATTCATCGAATGGCTAACCAATTATTAATCCTATATATTTTAGGTCCCATAACAATATTAATTACCCTTAGCCTCTTGAAATATTAATAATTAATATTGTGTTTATTACACGAGCCAAACTAGAGTCGTTTTTCAAGTTTCAAAAAAATTGGTGGTTTGTACGAAGCTTTGAACCCGACATTCTGGGAAGGCAAGTATGGTAATTAACCATCAAGCTACTGCTTTACTTGCGCATCTGTGTGTGTTAAAGGTCAAGAAATATCAATTTAACCTCAGAATATTATGCTTATTCATATTCCAAACATGCTTTATGATCGGACCTGTTAATGATAGGCTATATTAATTTTGTTTTTGGCTTGACCTTCGACGTGCATTATGTGAAGTTTTTTGGGGAATATTTTTGTGTTAAGTATTTTTTTTTCAAAGAATTATGCTTTACTGAAAATGATTAATTATGTGATAAAATTGTATTTGATGAGTTGTCATAGAATTGTTTCTTTTTTTAACCCCTTGCAATATTTAAACTAATAAAAGTATGCAGTTTTTGAATTTTTTTAGTTCACATGTGGAAATTGATGTTCAAATTGGAACGTGTATAATTCGCTAATAAACATGTATTCAAATCTGTAAATATTTTTGGTTTTAAAAAATGGGACACTTAGTATTGAAACTTAAAAAATGTATTGACAGTTATCATGGAATTTGACAGTAATCATTTACAATTCCAGTTCAATATCACCAGTTTTAAATTACAAAATACAGACGCAGTTCCAATTAGGTTATTCTGTTGTTATATTGTGTGCACTGCTATAGTTTTATTAATACTGTATGTCAACAATTTCTTGCCACTGTTTATAGCACGGGAATTTGTTGAATTGCATTTAGTATGTTAAGTCTTTCTGCTTGGCTGTAGGCCTACTAGTTCATTATAATAATAGCAGCTTTTGCTATACTGTAACTACAAGTGTTGAAATTTCTTGTTTGTAATTTGGTTTTTATCCTTAATTCAGGATTTAAATCAAATCAGATAATGGCTTAAATAAAATAAAATTATTGCAATTTATGCCTTATGACTTTATTTGAAAGTCGTCTACATAAGCTCCAGAATATATTATAAGTATTGTCCAAAATCAATTCAAAACGAAATAAAATGTTTAATTTATAGAGCTCAGATGTTACTCAAACGTTTCATGAACAGCTGAGGCGTAACTACAGGGCATGGTGGTAATCTTTCATTCAAAAAAATCTATTATATTATTATATTGGTGGATCCAGAAAAACAGAGGCCGTCTAGGATCTTCCGTCATAGCCCTGGACAAAGATGGGATAGGATGGTAAAGAAAGTATGTCTTCGATGGTGGCATGTAGGCTAGTATTGGCCTGGGGCATACGATTAATTGGAATGCGAAACTAAATCCCTATTCCAATGAAAAAATAATGGTCATTTTTAGTATTTTAACCCACTTAGTGGAACTAATTTGTTGTCATAGTGGTAGCGGTGGGGGGCTGGGAAGATGAGACCACACCCCCAGCCTACGCCCATGTTATACCACAATACTAAGAAATTAATATCGTAGTCAGATGCCCTCAAATGGCATTGGACAACAGGGGGTTGATGCTTACCTAACAGAAATTACCCCCTGACCACATGCTAGCCCCACTGAGAATCATCACCTCGAACAGGCAAAAAACGTTCAGAGAAATGACACTGACAGTTTAAATAAATTTCATATTAACAATTTATTGAGACTTAATGGAAAATTATGAGACCCAGCTTGCAGTGGATGAAGAAAATAAATGAAAAGAAAATATGGGCTGCCAAGGAAAACGAACCAGTGACATTTTGCGTAATGTTCCAACAAGGCTCTGCTAAGCCAGTACATTTGTTGCTCTTCGATCTGGCGGCCACAACAGAGCCTAATTAAACTGCATGACATATCGTGCATCTTGTGTATGTATACATGTATGTTTTAGTGTGAAAGGGATTGCCATATAAGTACTATAGCGATACATTTGCTATTGGCAATCCTTGGCCCATGGGCCCATATAATTATTTAAAAACAAGAGTTGTGAACCTCAGAAGATCCTGTTTTAGTCCTAGCCCCTGAGTAAAGTTACTGGTCTTGGAACAACCATTGCTAGATTTGTTTAGTTAATTTTTTAAAGTCAAATGCTTGATTACTGGATGCAGCAGTCCATAGCTTATTTATTACAATGTAATGGTAATAATTTGCATTCTTCTCCAAGTTTACAGCAACAGTCTATGTCTTATTATATCTTGATGGACCACTGACTTTAAGTACAGTACTGTACTAAATTATGTATAAATTTTATCATTCAAATAAAATATTTACTCACTGCTTAAGCTTCAACAAAAGACTACAAAATATTACAAACAGATTGCCCATTCAGTTATATTTAGTATAAAGAAGATAACTTATCATGAGAACATTTTAGAATGACTTCTGAATCAAAACTTCTCTGTAACATACATTTTTCCAACGTCCTATAAATTACTGTACTTACAAAACCCATGACTATATTAGACTATAATTCCCCATCTAAAAAAAAATATCCACAGACAAATAGTGTATACCTAAAACAAGTAGGCATAGACTATCAAATATTTGACCAAACTTTTGGTGAAGTAGAGCTTTGTGAAAGACACATTGTTTCTTATGACAAAAGCTATTCAACAAATTCTAAATGTCTATGTCCCACAGAATCTTTAGCACAACACAAGTACATTAATTTTATTTAAAGGGTTGAAAACAGACCATTTCAATGAAACGTAAGTAACATCCCATGTTAGGAGCACCTTATAATTTTGCTATATGTACTGGTACAGTAAAAAATGACATTAAAAAGAACACAGCCAGAAGTTCACACAAATTACAGAAGAAAATTATTTATCTAAAGATGTCAGCTTTTCCAGAGTGTGGCATTTAACAAAAAAAAAACAAAAAAAACCCCCAGATTTATTATAATTTAAATAATAATACGATAATATAAAGTAATGATACTATAAAGGGCACAATTAATGTCCATATTTTTGAAACTGCAATTGTAAAATAAACAACAGCATTACAGTGTACAAGGGTCCCAAGTTGGGATAAGCCAAGAGCTCTTGATTGGGAGCTTTTGATTTGTTCAACAACACAACGCTAGAACAAAATCACTCATGCGTGACCGTTCTACTGGGCGTCATACGTTCTCTGCATTTGGCCAAATTGCATCCTAGAATCCACGCGACAAGGAGAACCTAACATTCTCGCATGAGCAGATGACTTTTAGTGATGTCATTACATTCGACATCCTACTGTGCAATCGAGAGCTCCCTACTGTTTCTTTACACCAAATATTGCATAATACATAATACAGTGGTAAAAACATACATCAAATATTTTTGGGAGATGGATTAATTTCTGGAAGATTTTTGCCTGCTCACAGGTCCACAATAGTGAAATTAATTTGAGGATGCATGTTTTATTAAAATTAATAGTAGTTAAATTAGTTTGATGGTTGCTGTTGGGTTTCTGCCAAACAAAACCCACTCATTCAATTGAATTTACATTTAAGTAATGCATATAAAACGGCAATAAGCTTAGCGAATCTTCACTTGTTTTTGTCTAGCACCAAGGCGACGTTTCATGTCTTGTTTGTACTGTTTATCCTGTAATTAAAATAAACAATTCTGTTACTATCGTAATAATCAAATAATAATAAATGAGTGTGTATTAAAAAATTGTTATCTTAATAATCAAATAATAATAAATGAGTGTATACTAAGAAAGAAACAGGCTTCTGCTTTTCTTTCATTATTGTTAGGGTCCCATGCAAAAAATAAGATGATTTGAAATTATCAAAATAACTCACTTCAATTTTCCGAGCTTTTTCCGGATCATCTTCGTTCATCAGACGTTCCTTTTCTTGACGTCGTTTGTCCTCACGCCTCAGCTGGGCTGCTTCCTGCCGTTGAGCATGAGAAAGCTTCTCAAATG